AAATGTGACACTGTTGGGAATTCTGAAGTTCAAAGCGTTTGCCAACTCATAATGTCCTCACTAGGGAACTTTATCTTCAAAAATTGCTAGAAGTCAACAAAGTATAAGTTTACTTGGGCAGTTTCTTGTACACAATTTCATGGAACCATTTCTTGATAACAACCCGTTCAGTAGGAGTATCCCCTCAAAAGATGAGAAAGACGGAGTAAAAGTTCATGCTATAGCCAGTTGTTTGTTTTTCACTTCTGTGGCAGGGCACTTCTGTTTTGCGTGGAAGACGTATAGCACAGCGCTTGATAAGATATGTTATGCTTGTGACAACCTTGATCATTAACCATCACAGAAGGGAAAGATGGGGTGTGAGGGGAAGGGTTGAAGGGAGCGGGGAGAGTGAGAATCTCTAAGGTACGCGCCACAGTTAATCCGCTTGATCCACTTCGTCCACTTCGCTATTGGTCAAATCACCCAACTCACCAGTAGCGAAGGAATGCCCACTTGTCCCACTTGTTCACTTCATCCACTTCGCTATTGGTCTGTTCACTGCGTTGACCAATACGAAGTGGATGAAATGGGTGCGGATCAAGTGGATCATATATGGATCGTGGTTCACGAACAGGAATCAAAGAAGGAGGATGAAAGGAGAGAACGAAAGCACAAAGAAGAGAAACGATTAGGACGAGAAAATGGAATTTTTTAAATGTGAAGCGGCTCGCATGTATTGGGGGAGGGGGTGGTAGCACCTACCGCCCGTAGCTAGGCTTCCCTACATTTCCCACCTGGGAGAATTTTGTTGAAATTTGTAAGTGACCTGCAGTGTTGTGAGTTCTCGCTCGAATGGGTCAAGAACATCTCTGGCCATTCCTTCGACAGGTAACGGTGCAATCGAAGAACTGTTTTTGTTCCACCATGGTTTGTCCCAGCGCAAGAAAATCTTGCAAGACCCACCGAAGCCTAGAAAATACCTACTGTCATCTGATTTCACTCTCGAATGATTAATTATGGAAATAGGCACATGAACTGATTGGAACTTCCGCACAACGAAAAAAAA